TGGGATTTCTTTTGTAGTTTTGATTGACATGTCTCCGAGGAACCCCGGTGAGGGAATGGCTTATGCAATGGGCTGTTAACAACAAGGTCAGCAGTTCAAACCCATCAGTCACTCCTAGGGAGAAAGATGAGGCTTTCTCCTCCCATAAATATTTACAGCCACAGAGACCCAAGCCAAAGGGCAGTTCTAGTCTGTTCTTTAGGGTCACAGTGAGTGAAGACTGACTTCTTGGCAGTGAGTTAGTAGCTAAAGCTATCGAGCAGTTCTTCATATGTTTGCTGGCTGACTGAAAGTCTTCTTGGGTGAAGTGTCTGTTCCTATCTTGCTCATTTTAAACACTGGAATGTTAATCTTTTTATGGAGGCATTAAAGTTTTCTATAAATTTTAGAGCATAGACCCTTGTCAGATATGTTGGGGTCAATTCCCCACCCCAGTCCCTAGATTCTCTTTTTTATTCTTTTGGATGAGTATTTTCATGTGTCTGTTTTATTTTCAGGGTCTAGTTCATCTTCTGCTGTTTGTACACCTTCAAGTAATGTTTGAGGCTCTACTTATGCCATCTATTAGCGCCCTTCGCATTATCCTTATGTTATCCTTCTTACATGATCAATATAGTTTTGGGGTTAATCTTTAGATTTTTGATCCATTTTGAGTTAGTTTTTAGTCAAAGTCTGAGGCATTACCCTTGTGCAGGTAGATAGTTAGTTTCTGCCAGCCCCAGCTGTGAAAGAGACTCTCTTTCCCCCCTTTAGGCACCTTGTTGAAGACCGTAATCCATAGTAGATAGATTTATTCCTAGATCCTTGATTCTGTGCCACTGGTCCATGTGTCTGTCTATTTGTCTGTTGCACCAGTACCAGGCTGTTTTAGCTCCTGTGACTGGATAGTAGGTTCTGAAATCAGGTAGTGTATGGCTCCTGCTTTGTTCTCCTTCAATAATGCTTTACTTCTGGGGCCTCCTTTACCAAGCTGTGTCTTGTGGCTCTAGTCCAGGGGTCCTCAAACTTTTTAAACAGGGGGCCAGTTCACTATCCCTCAGACTGTTGGAGGGCCGATTATAGTTAAAAAAAAAAAAAAAACTATGAACAAATTCCTATGCACACTGGATGAGTCGGCCGCTAAGCAGAACAGGCAGTGGCGGCAAAAACACCTGGTGGGCCGGATAAATGTCCTCGGCGGGCCGCATGTGGCCCGTGGGCCATAGTTTGAGGACCCCTGCTCTGGTCTGATTGTCTTGTTCTCTGTGTCTTCCTGCCCTTTGTTACCTCTGCCACGACCATGTTCTCTACCCCTTGGTGACTAAATGGCTTCCTTTAAGGACTGGGCACTTTTGTTTAACTCTCCTGCCTCATGACCACCTTCAGGCCAGATTGGAAGTGGCTGTGGTCACGAAGCCTGTTATTACCAAGCCAGGGTATGTGCTTCAAGAGCTAATTCCCTGGATCAAGAAAAACCTATGTGTTGCCTACAAAGAAATTCCATGAAAAGAAATGGATATTATGTTGAGGGACTGTGGAATAGCAGAAAGAGCATGGACTTCCTTGTTTACAGAATTCTTATAGCCTCTGCCTGAGTATTTGTAAGATGGTCCTTACTTATTGAGTCTCCTTGAGTTCTTCCTGGGTGCTTGTGTGTGCTCTGTAATCTCCACCCAATACTCCCTGCTAGAGTATAATCTCTGTGCAATGCTTTCAGCTAGAGGAGGACAACATGCGATTATTTACTTTTCTTCTTTGGTCAGAGACCCTGCCTACAACTAGGAGCCTAATCTCTGAAGGCAAAATAACATGGCCTTCAAATGACTCCTCCAGCACCTGTTATTGACCATTAACTGTGTGCCAGACAGTTTCCAGAGCACTTCCGTGATGCGCTTTATTTCTCTCCACAACCTGATGTGAAGTTAGGTCTCCTGCCCATTTCACAGATGAAGCTACTTGGGCCCAGCAAGCATAATTCGCCTGAGGGTCACATAGCTGACAGATGGTACCTCCAAGATTTAGACTTACATCTAACTGATGCCAAAGCCAATCTCCCACTTCCCATGGGGCCTAGCTTTCTAGCATAGCAAACTCTCACTGCCTTTTGATGCTTCTCTACAACCAAAGATGCACAGATGTGTTATGGGTATATGTACAAGAAGGCTTTGGAAAGTCCTGGTGGCAAAAAATCCATTATTGGTTAATTCCATTTTTATATGAGCTTTTTGAAGCCCCCTAGTATCTATCAGTATATGTGTATTTGTATGTAAGCACTTGTGTTTGTATATGTAGGCCTCTATATACATATTTATGCATCCATATGCATCAGTGTATGTTTGTGTGTGTATGCACATGTGTTTATTTAGGTATACATTCAAAGCCCTCAGGCACTGTATTTCCGTCTCTCTCTGCTGATGCCTTTGAAGAAAGTCTTAGCTAAAGACATTCTTCTTGCTCCCATACCTTCTAATTTTCATCGCTAACAAACCTTTAATGAATTCCCAATCTGTTTAAATATAGAAGGCTCCGTCTTCCTGAGATGACTCCGAGTCCAATGTGCATTACACAACCTCCACAGAGCCACGCCTCAAGCTCCGTGGAGTTACAAAGGAAGGGGCTGGTGCGTCTCAATAGGCCAGGAATGAAAATTGGGGCACATTTCTGCAGCTCATTTCTGGTTATCTTTAAATGGATAACTAACCCATAAAGGAATCTCACTGTAGTGGCTGTAACATCAGTAACAAGTTCGTTGTTTTAATTAAAGTTTCATGATTAATGTCAAATCCCTGGTTTCATGCCGGCACTTTCCATCCTTCATGTCTCTTCGTAGATTAATTTATGACTTTTTAAGCATAGATAATCAGTGCTTTAGGCAAATAAACTAGTTCATCAAATCTCAGGATTCTCGCCCGGGCTGATAGTACCAATGCTTCTGACTCCCATGAAAAGAGAACCGGATAGACAGAAAGAATGCAGACTGCTCAATGAACCTGCATCCTCACCAGAGATGATCCTGGACACTAAGTTCGTTTTCCTTCTTGACACGATTCCGCACAACCTTTCAGGCCATATGGGAAATGGGCACATTTCATCGCCAGCCATATTGAAGGCACTCCTGGATGCTCACAAATGCAAGTGGGAGAGCCAGTGGCCTCAGAGACATCCTTGTGCATGGAGGCAAAAAGCAGTGCCATACATACTGTCGCCAAATGGTTTTCTCATTGATAAATGGAGCAATATATTTTGTTTTATTACTCAATTCTCTCTCCCCCCGTTCCATTTTCCAGGCCGCCAAAACAAAAAAATAAAAAATAAATTAGGGCATGTCTGCCTTTGTGACACACAGTTGTTTTCCTTCATCATAGCCGATCTTCTTGTAAATTCATAAAAGCACCTGGGGAGTTGATAGTAAATTAAAGATGTTTGAGAACAATAGTGTTTCCTGGAAACGATGTGCTACTTTAGTGCCGAAGTGAGACAGAATTTGGACAATTCTGTAGGGGTGCCTGTGCATTCCCTTAGCCTGGGCTGAGGGACAGTGAGTGGCGTGGGCTCTCCTGGCCTTTGGGGAAGGTGCCCGGTACAGGCACAGCGTGCTGACTCTGCAGACGGGCAGGCCCGACTGCCATGCTGAGCCTGAGTGCTGATGAGTGTCAGTTGCTGACATATACAACTCTAAAGCAGGTGCTTTAAGGGCTGGACGGCCTGTTGCATTTTTAATCATAGAGGAGTCTAGACTTAAATCTTTCATAACTGAACTCATATTGTAATCCATTACATGTACTTCGTATTAGCTAGCATCTCTGGCATTATGGTGGCAGCTGTGTAAAATATTTGTTTTGCTTGTTTAGAATTGAATTGTAATGTTCTAAAGCAGGCAATTATTGCTGCGGGAGGAGCTGCCAAATCTCTAATACTCCTATACAGCATCTTGCCAGTGCGTCTAAATTGCAGGAGATATTGTTACCCTAAGCAGAACAGGCAAGGGCCTACCCAGACACAGAAGGAGCACCCCGTTTTGAATAGCTGCCATATGGGTGGTAGGCTTGGAGGCTGTGTAGGTGTTTTGTAAAGGAAATATGTATGCATGTATATGTATATATATTTTTAATTGCTTAGAAAGAATATCTTTCTAAATGAAATTTGATTAAAAAGCTTCTTCACTTCTTATCAGAGGCCTCCCACTGATACAATCTTGACTCTTTAGCACAGTGGTTCTCAACCTTCCTAATGCCTCAACCCTTTCATACAGTTCCTCATGTGGTGGTGACCCCCCCCCCAGCCATAAAATTATTTGCGTTCATTACTGTAATTTTGCTACTGTTATGAATCAGGTGACCCCTGGGAAAGGGTCGTGCGACCCCCAAAGCGGTCATCACCCACAGTTTGAGAATCGTTGCATTAGCATGACTTCACAGGCTTTCTTGGCCTCTCCTTCCAGCATATTATCTGCATGAGGCCCTTCTTATGCCCTGAGTCCTTGAGTGGCAAAGATGGCTAAGCACTTAACTACGAACTCAAAGGTTGGAGGTTCAAGTCCACTCAGAGGTGCCCTAGGAGAAAGGGCTTGTGGTCTACAGGTGAACAAGCAGCCACTGAAAACCCTGTGGAGCTCAGTTCTCCTGTGACACACCTGGGTTTGCCACGAGTCTTAAAAACCAAACTAAACCAACCAAACAAACAAAACCCCCCCACCAAATCTGGAGACACCCAACCACCAGTCGACCCCGCGGGTCCTTTGCTCAGCGTCCCCTGCCTCCCTCCCATCTCTCCACCCATGGTTCCGTTGGGATCTCGCCTCTCTGTGGTCATTGTTGTTTCCTTGTCCAAGACTGTAGGCTTGCTCAACACAGTTGAGTCTTTTCGTTGCTGAATCCTCTGGCCCCGATCAGAGTGTGCCCTGTGATTGGAGCACCATGATCTTGATTGACGTATCGATGTGCTCCTTGCCCCTTCCTCCCTCTCTTCCTCCTCCTGCCTTTCCTCCATCCTCATAGTAACCTGTGCCCTTTACTTTCTAGGCAAAGCAGGAAAAATGCCAGTTCGGTCTCTCAGGATTCCTGGGAACAGAACTACTCACCTGGCGAAGGCTTCCAGAGTGCCAAGGAGAACCCCAGGTATTCCAGCTACCAAGGCTCGAGGAACGGCTACCTGGGCGGGCACGGCTTCAATGCCAGGGTGATGCTGGAGACCCAGGAGCTCCTGCGCCAGGAGCAGAGGCGGAAAGAGCAACAGATGAAGAAGAAGCCGCCCCCGGAGGGGCCCAACAACTATGACTCATATAAGAAAGTCCAGGACCCCAACTACACCCCTCCCAAGGGGCCCTTCCGGCAAGACGTGCCCCCCTCCCCGTCTCAGGTGGCGAGGCTGAACAGACTGCAGAGTCCTGAGAAGGGCCGACCCTTTTACTCCTGAGCAGGAGAAGAACAGATACTTCATGTCATGCAATAAAGGACATTTTCCTATGAAGACTTGTATTTTGGAGCGTTTTTTAAAAACCTTGACGGTACTATGGAATATTTCTGTTGTTGGTATCAGTGCCTTTAAGGAGTGTGGGCAAAGAAGTGGAAGGCCTTAATGTCTTTGCCATTATATCTCAAGTATCTCTTTCCTAGAAGGATTTCCCACCATCTGACAATCATCTTTTCAACGTATTCCTCTGTTCTGCATCTCTCGGGGGTATCAGGACACGCAGCCCAATTCATGGCATGTCCCTAGCTTGGCTATGGCCAACCCCTAAAATCTGTGGAGACAATATGTGCTTGAAGTTAATGGTGGAATTGATCTCTTTCCCTCTTTACTTTTTCTTAGATGTGAGGCAACACCTCAAGTTCTGGTGGATAGGAACGGCTGACAGGCACCAGAAGTTGAAGTGTTATAGTCCCTCACGGCATACCCATTTATCCATACTTTAAAGCAGTATGGTTTCCCCCCTTTTCTTTCTCACCTCCTTGGGAAAGGAAAGTTCTTTGTCCTAATAAAAATGTTAAGCCATATCACACTTTCTGGTTATCATGGGTCTCCTTTTAGAACTGCCTTACAACGCCACATGATCAATAAACTCAACAGTGATGACTGCCGTCTGTGTTTATAAATACCCTGTTCAGTCACGTCCCTAACACATTTGATGAGTCCCCACCGCTCTGCGATGGGAACGTGGGAGAGGGGGCTGATCCATGGTGAGGGGGTAGGGCCGGGCCGGGCCCACCTATGGGCCTCTGCGTGTTTCCTGAGGTGGGAGGTGGCAGCTAAGAAAAGAATTCTCCCAGAATGAGCTTGCACTTCAGTACATCCCGATAATTATTTTAATTACTTTCTGTTCTGACAGGTTGACAGGAAGGGCTCAGAGTGGGACAAAGATAAATCAGACAGTTGTTTGGGAATTCTAAAACCTGATCCGCTTTCTGTGTATTTTGAAGTCAGAAGTGAGATGTGCTCAGTATACCCACAGGCTGTATCACTGCCCGGTGATGCCGTGCTCCTGAACGCTTCTCCTGCAAAAGGTCAGCAGCCAGCAGAACATATCCGACAGAGAACATGCTGGTGCCCCAGCGTGGTGATGACAGAAAACTGCTTCCATGTCGATATTTTTAATGTACAGGATGGGTCACAAGAACCTCTGTTGCGCATCGGTTTTTATTTGCTGGTTTGAACGTCATGCGTTGTAAAGCATCACTGGGTGGCTGAAGTGCCTGCAAATCCTCATGTGAAACAAAGCTTGAGATCCAAGCTCAGCATACCTTGTATTCACAGAAAAGAAAAATAAGACACAAAAAAGTAAAGCTATGTATTGATACGCCTATATCTATATATTTTTTGTACTGGCACATTGTATTTTTGTGTCAACTTGTTTTTAGGAAAGATGTGAAGTGCCCACATGTGCACCTGTGTCTCGGATACTTATGCAGTTTTTGTGTCCTCGTTGTCTGTGTTAATCATGCGTAGCGATGTTGCAATGGTGTGACCAATGTAAGCACGGTGGCCCTGGACGGCAGCAGCTCTTTCTCACGGCTCTCCCGAAGCTGGGGGAAACAGCTTTCCTTGTACATACGCCACTTCTAATAAAGGACGTATTTCTTCCTGTTCTCGTGGTATCTATGGTATTCCTGTGCAACCTCTCCCAGCTCTCTTTCTTTCTTTCTTTCTTTCTTTCTTTCTTTCTTTCTTTCTTTCTTTCTTTCTTTCTTTCTTCCATGTATACGAGCAGCTGTGACAGATTATATTTTTGTCTCCATAGTCAGAGACAATTGGCAGTCTCCTTGTGTCTCTCTGGGTGAAGACCTCGACGTGTCTAAGGCTAGGCTGTCTGAAGGAGCAAGGGAAACTCCTAAGCTGCAGAAGCCAACGCACCAGAGCGCAAAAGAGAACTGATAGCAAATGCCCGCCTAACAAGCAAAAACCAACTGCCGCTGAGTGGACACCCACCGAAGGGGGGCCTCCATCTATGTCAGAGTAGAAATATCTCCCCGAGGTTTTTAAATTTTTTTCTTTTTCCCCAATGGCTCAATGGTGGTAGATTGCAAGGCCTTTCTCCTAAGGCCCTTGTCGGTGCATTCGAACCTCCAGACTTTTGATGAGCAGCCGAAGACATTAATCGTTTGCACCACCCAGGGACCTGCAGCAACCTTACAGCTCACTCCCAAAGTTCCCTCCCATCGAGTTGATTCCTCCTCCTATTGACCAGGGGTAGAACTGCCCCTGTGCAGTCCCAAGACCAACTCTTTACAGGGGTAGAAAGTCCCATCCTTCTCCTTGGGGGAGGCTGGCAGCTTCCAGCTGCGGACCTTTGAGTTAGCAGCTTGTTGTGTCACCCCCCATGCTACCAGTGCTCCTCCAGGAAAGAACAGCACACGGTCCTTCCAGCCTCGCCTTCACTCTGTGAGCCATGTTGGTAAGGCAGCCGTTTGGGTGGAAACCTAGCCTGCAGTACTAGGAGCATAGAGAACAATTCGCGTTTTCCCTGCTTGCAGTGCTGATCAGCTTCCCATTACCCACCTCACAAAGTGAGGTTTTGCTCGTTCTTTTAGAAGGCCACGATGACTTTTTAGATGTGTTTTCAAGGCATAAGGGAACATAGTCGTGTGTTTCCACTATTTTTCCCTGGAAGGAGATGAGATCCCTACCCAGAGGACAAACCTCCCCAGGCCTTCATGAAAAAACGGCCTTCCTCCTTGAGTACCTGGCATCAGTTGGTTATTCTAGCTCTGATCCTGCTGTCACAAAATCCAAATGGTGTCACCTCAGGATTATTAATGAGAGGTGTATGGCCTGCCAAGCGACTATCGCCGTGTTGGGTCTTTACATACCTGCCGATGTGACAAGGATATGACGGGCAGATTTGTTCATTTTCTCACTGGCCAGGAGGTCCATGGCGAATGCCCAAATCCTCAGGTTATTTATTTCAGCGGATTGACTTGGCCAGAAGCCAAGGAAGAGAAGCAACATGGAGTGTTGTGGGACCCGAAATCACACAAGGCTTTATAAATGAAAACCGACACGTGTATTCCCGAGAAGAACCTAAGAATCGCTATGGGTCAGAGGACGGAGCGTGCACACCACGAAGAAGCAGTCCTGTCTTGATGTGTCATCCTGGCTCCAAACACTTCCGAAGACCTCCCAGGGAAGAGCAGGAAGAACGTGTCCAGAGGAGGAACAGAATCCAGACTCACCTTTTTCTATGCCTCCTACCTTCCGAGACAAATCCCACGCCACGAAAGGGAGCACACGTGCCGATGAGGCGGAGAGCGGTGTAACCCTGTGCTTGATAGAGACTCTGCGGTCATGTTGCAAATGCTACACAGGCCCAGCTGTGAACTGAAAGTGGCTCCTAGGAGAAAAAAGGTCTGGTGATCTAACTCTAAAATAACACCAAACAAAACAGAACAAAAACGGCCATTGACATCCCAGGAGCGCTGTTCTAGGACCCGCCTGGGGTTGCCACAAGCCAGTGAGGACTGGTGGTAAATTGGTAAAGGCATCTCGTTCTCCCCGTGGGTCGTTCCGACCAACGACCGCTCAGAGGACCCAGCATTTCCCAACAGGCAGGACAACACAAGCAGTGGAAGGTAAGTGGGATGTGGGTATTTCCAGCTTCCACCGGAGACCACCCGACCTCCCAAACCAGAAACAGTCCTCTCAGGGAACCTGTTTTGCTGAGTGGAGGTCACCTCGTGGCACTGGAGACCCCTTTTGGAAAGAAGGCAGTGAACCGATACACAGAGTGGGCCACGCGGACCGTGTGTTCTCCGTAACCGTCCACAATGAGACTGACAACCAGGTCGGGAAGATAAGGGTCCTTCTGGCTTGTTGAATCGGCTGCGTCCATCCCTGTCCAGGTCGTTGTCCTGGGTTTACCCAAATGGGACAGCTATCTCCCAGCCTCCCGTATGTTTTATTAGCAAGTCCACATTTGCATATAAACGTAACAGGTGCCACATGTTTAAACATCTATTTAAAAAATCAGGTTTAATTTTTTTTAAAGCAAAGATTACTCCAATGATGTCCTGTCAGGTGGTGAGATAATCTTCTTTTCCTACTTCAGAGACAGGATATCATCTTAATAAGGCAGCTAATAAGGACGTTCACAGGTCAGAAAGGGAGAGTGACGGAGAGGCTTTAATGGGAAACCACCTTCAGCTCTGAGCAATGATTAAATCACGAAAGCTGGTTGGATTAAATTGCCTTTTTTTTCAATGTGTGGGGTAGGCAGAGGGTAATTCTGAAGATTTTTTTAAAACGAAATGACAGTTTACTTTAGCGCGCTGAGGAAAACTCAGGGGTTGTCTTTACAAACCACAGCACGGAAGATTATTCTTTCCGTGAGCTATATGCTTCTCTCTAAAATTCATCATCTTCCAGCCCAGTGCTCATCTCTCCTCGCTCCTTAAAATATCTTGGCCTTCAGCACCTTGCCTTTTGATTTCAAGTCCCTTTCAGCAAATTAAAAAATTCTATGTCAGCCCCTCGTCCCTACATTACATCTTTTTAGGTTAAACCATATCACGGGGGATTTCACCTCAGACACTCACGATGGCAGCCTATCACATCCAGAATCCTTTATTAGAGGCAATGATCACTTTTCCTCACAAGTTAGGATCGTTTTTTGAGTTTCTCTATTCTTTTATTACTTTGAGAGCAAACGATATCTGCCTTAGCCTGTGCCCTCTCAGCCGGGTGTGTAGATAGAGGAAGAAAACAACGGAGAAACAGAGGACTAACGTCCCACAGTGAAGCTGCGTGCGATCTCCTCTTTCATGCTTAGAGCTTATTTGTTCACAGGCTCAATTAAATGTGAGACAAACAGCCTTGCTCTGCATTGCTCAGCTAACTGCTGAGTCACCTCACCCTGCTGTTGGTTCCGAAGAGCCTGGTGGTGTTTGCTCCTGGACAAGGCCGGCGCCTCTGACCACGTGCTTCTCCTCCCGGAAGCCCTTGGCAGAAGCCTTTCCTGTTTCTCTGAAGGTATGTTTTGCTTCATGGTGGAAGCTTTCTTCTGAAACTGTAGCCTGGCTTCCAGGAGAGGTTTTTATGATGCAAATATTTTAAGTACAACTTTGAAGGTTTTGCCATTAAAAACAGCCTCCCGTGGCTCCCAGCCCAGCCTATTGCAAACAACAGGGGGAGACTGCCATAGATGGGTGGCATATGACAGGAAAGAAAACAAAGCACATTTCTAAGCCGACTGTGACCTTGGTTAATGCTCTGGTTTCAGGGTTCAGTTCATATCCGGCTTGCTTTTATTCGGGTTTAGCTGTCAGTGGCAACATACGTATCGCAGCTGTTTACGTTGGGAAGGAATGGGTGAAAACATTAGCCTGACAACCCAGAGAAGGGCCAGATTAGGGATCGCCAACCAAGGTGAGGGTATTTTGGATCAAGGCAAAACGTTGAGCTTGTTTTGTGAAGCCCGAGTGAATGTATCCTGCACAGGCCTTGACTTTTGTAACTTCCTCTTCCAAACTCTTCCGTCCTTTCTTATCTGCTTGGCTGGACTTCTTCCCTCTGAGCCCAAGGAGCCCCACCTCTGGTGGGAGCAACCAAAAGGTCCCCACAAAACCCAGACCCCAAGCTGCTGCTGGCTTCCCACTTTATTTGGTCAGTCCCTTGGCTTAGCCTTTTTGTAACACATTCCTTTATATTTGAAGCACCCCACCCCCACCCCCACCCCCCATCCCCAAAACGCTGTGATGCAGGTTTAGAAATGACAGTCCAAATTTTGCATGTGAGGAAACAGAAACTCACAGAGCTGTGACTTACCAGGTTTGGTCATTACACAATTTCATGAGAACTTAATAAACGAGAATGAAGAGGTGGAGTCTAGCCTGTCAATCAGGCCAGAGCCTGGTGATCCCTCCTTGTGGGCATGGCCTTCTCATGAGGATTCTGGCACTTCTTCTCTTCCTCCCTGGAAGCAGGATACACCCCCTCTCCTTCCTGTTGCTTCTCATTCCTGTTGACAAGCCACATGGGACCACACTGATGGCAGCCAGAGCCCTGGCTTTGGACTGTGCACTGCCATTGGACCCATAGGACTTTCCACCCACCGGCCTGTGACCTCCCTGCATTTGACATCTTTGTATGTGCTGCATGAGTCTGAAGAGGAATTAATGGGCTAATATAAAACTTATGAGTTAATATTGAATTTATGGACTTGATCTGGATTGCTGGGATGTTATTGACCCATAATGACTTCTTTAATATAAAGTTCCGTCTTGCACATATATGAGTGTCTCTGGATTGCTTCTCTAGTCAACCCAACTAACACACCAAGTGATATAGCTGCTGAGGGGCAAATGCAAATACAAACTCCATTGTCCTGACTGCAGTCCATCTTTGGGACATAAAGGTCATATGAAAATAAAAGGCCCTGTGTGTGTTTTTGTGTTTTTAAAATCCTTTGTTTTGCTAGCTATTGTGGAGCTGACCCTCAACACATGGTGGCCCTATACACCCGGAAACACAATGCTCATCCTCATTAATCATTCTGATTGAGACTGCTGGGATCCATGGGACTTTTATCGACTGACTTTCACATGTAGATCACCAGGCCTTTCTTCCTTGTCCACCTTCTTCTGGAAGCTCTGTT